TAGGTGGCCCTGGGCACATGCAGGGGCGACAGGGCTGTCCTTCCAGGGGGTTTCCATAATAGCCATCCATGCACCTGTCAAAGCAGTCAACATAAACCACTAGAAATTGTCAAGTGCTCCTTTCAGTCCATCCAGGTGAATCAATTTATATGTATATATATTTAAATTAACATTCCAGGTCATTGTAATGCTATTTTCATTTACTGGTATAGGTATGTCAAACCTCAAAGATGTTCTAAAATGGCAAATCAGAGCTGCATTCCCAAAATCTGGAGCAAAAGAAAAAGACATATGTTTTCTTTACAAGGAATATTTCTGAAGACTTTCACCTAACCTGGTGGGAGGCTTGCAGGGCTCCCTGAGGGCTCAGCCACCCTGTCCACCACCCAACCCCCTGTGGTTCTGCAGCAGCTTCTGAAGCATCTTCAGTCTTTGATCTGCTTCACTATGGCAAATGGGAACACGTTTCTCCATATGGATACAAGCCAGGCTAAAAGTCTTGGCTATTTGATTATCCTCACCCTGGGATCTGGAGCTCCTGCAGAGGCACAGGGCAACAAGTACTTCAGTCTCCCATTTTTAATCTATCTGACACCCACAGGCTCAATAGCCAAAGGCTGTATTGTCTAAAAGCACTGCAAGAAAAGCTCAATAGGTTTCACGGGGAAATCCCCTGAAAAGTGAATGGCAAGGTACAATCTAGCCAAACCAAACTAAATGAATTTATTTTTGATGTCTGTGTTGACCTCTGATACTGCTGCCAGTGTATAGAATAAAAAAGAGGAGCACTGTTCTGAGTGGAGCTGGAACACGTGGGAAAAGTCATTTGCTGGTCATATGGAACTGATACGACCAGCAAACAGGGCATGTTTATTTAAGCTCCTCACAGGTAACTGCGGGTATTAAAATGAGTATTCAGCATGAGGTTAGCCTAACCTCATGCTGAATTTGAAATTTGCAAGCTGGCAGCAGTCAGTGTAGCTGACTTTGTGCCTTTGCATGTCTCCAAGCACACAGCACCATTGGCACCTGTGTCCAAATGCCTGCTTGCAGGCATCCTGCTGCAGTGCATTGCATGCAGTGCCAAAGAAAGAGATGCCTGACACTCAGGGCCAGTTTAATACTGGTTTAGGGATGTGCTTCCTATTAAGGTCATCGATGCATTTGTGGCTCCCCAGCTACACATGCATTTCAGAGCTCACCAGTGCTTAGGTGAGCTTTGCAGCACTGCTGCCCATCAGCTTACCTTTCACAGTGGCTTCCAGCTGTAAACTCACGGCAGTTGAGGCACACTCCAGTCAGGGGCTCACAGAGCTCAGCATAGCCATTACACAGGCAAGGACGGCAGAGGGGAAAGCCAAAATATCCGTGCAGACAGCGACTGCAGCGCTGACCATCCACCCCCCGACGGCAGGAGCACTGCCCTGTCACCTGGTCACACAGCGAGCTCAGGGAGCCTTGAGGGTGGCACTCACATGCTGGAAAACACCAAAAGGAAAGCTGAACGTGTTCCCACCCGCTCTGCTCGGCACTGATACTGCTCCAAGACAGCCAAGCAGCAGGGATGGAAAATCCATTTTATGCACAGTTTTTATACTGCTTCACACACAGAATCTTGGGTTCAAAGCCCTAAAAAGTCGGGGCATGCATGAAGAGCCAGGTAGTGGCACTGGTACTGCTCCCAGGTACTCACCATAGCAGCCGTGGAAGCCAAAGCCATAGCTGCCCACAGCACAGGTGTCACAGCAGCGTCCCACCACGTTGGCCTTGCACTGGCACTGGCCCCCCAGTTTACTGCAGTTGGCATGCAGTGACCCTTGGGGATTGCACTTACAGGCTGCCAAGGGGAAAGAAAATCAGAACACAATGAGTGTTACTGCTGTCGTCAACTTGCTGGTTTTACACTTTAGAATAGGAAGCTTACAGGCTGCCAAGGGGAAAGAAAATCAGAACACAGTGAGTGTTACTGCTGTCGTCAACTTGCAGGTTTTACACTTTAAAATAGGAAAGAAAGAGCTTGATCATTCTCATCAGGGGTTCACTAATGGCTTGGATTATTTGATGCTGTAGCATCAATGATGATGGTATACCACATACCAGCACAAGTCTCAGTGTTGGATTTGCCACATGCCAAGGGGAAAGAAAATCAGAACACAGTGAGTGTTACTGCTGTCGTCAACTTGCAGGTTTTACACTTTAAAATAGGAAAGAAAGAGCTTGATCATTCTCATCAGGGGTTCACTAATGGCTTGGATTATTTGATGCTGTAGCATCAATGATGATGGTATACCACATACCAGCACAAGTCTCAGTGTTGGATTTGCCACATTCAAGGCACTGCATTTGGGATAGGACAGAAAGGGCATAGCAAAATGTAGATCCAAAATGGAGAAACCCTGAAGTCTAGAAGGGTTTGATATAAATCTGTGTCTAGCTGCAGCACTGGACATGACCTGCAAGCTGTACTTAGACAGTCAGCATCTGTGTACTGTTTGTGGTTTTCTGAACACCTTGGACTAACTTGTTGAGTGAAGATGGTCTGCTAACTCACAGAGGATGTTTGTCCAGGATGCTCTAGAAAGCACTAGAAAGCCAAAGTACAATACATCACTGGGAGAATCCCATCACTTTGGGAATCAAGTTCATGGGGAGTTAGCACAGCCCAAATTTAAACTAGGGAGGTCTGTGGCTGCCACAGTCATGAGCACATTGCCTGATGTGTGAGTGAGGCATTGGTCCTTCTAAAAATTGCCCAAACCAAGCAGATACTACCAGTTTGGAGGCATTACTGCAAGGAGCTGAAAGAGCTGCTGCATCCCTGAAAGGAGCAGGCCACCAAAGCTGTCCAGAAAGGCCCCTCTTGTTACTGGAAGTGCAGAGAAGACTTATTTCTCTGGGCCCAACACTTGGGATGTTTCCTGAGCCACCAAGTCCAGCTACCCTTTCCATGGTGGGTCCAGGAGGCTTCCTGAGAGCTTCAAATCCCACCTGCCACTGCCCTCTTGCTGGAACACCACTGAGGTTTTCTTGGTGAATCTCTTCCAGTACATCAACTTGTGTGTCATCATGCCTGGAGTCCTACCAAGGCATCCAGGGAGAAGGCTTGAAAACTTTTCTGTCATTTTACCTCAGCCAGAAAAGTAGGAAAATTACTGCTTTGGTCATCTGGTGAAGCTGCATCCGATGGAAATGCTCTTCAGAAAACACATGAGCACTGCCACAGACTCTGCCACGCTGCTCCATGAAGCTCATCAGGTGTGATGAACTCCAAGTCATGCCAAGTGAAGGTGTTGGCAGCACACGCAGTGTTCAGTGGGACGTGTCCTGCACATCCATACCTACCACATGCTGATTTGCTTCACTCACCTACACCACCATGGGCTGAGAGCTCTCCAGTCAACATATCCTACTAACTCAAGGGAAAACCAGCAACTGTCCAAAGGAGCTGCCTGTGCATGTTGGTCCTTACCGACGGCCCCGTTGTGGATCCGGGCTGACATGCTCACTATGAGCCGTGCACATGCTTCAGGCAGGACATGAGGCCCAACTTCAGATGCAATTTCAATACAGTGATACTTCTGGTACTCATCTAAATCCTTTTCACTGCATAAGTTCTCCACAGAGCTTTTCAATACAGTGATACTTCTGGTACTCGTCTAAATCCTTTTCACTGCACAAGTTCTCCACAGAGCCGATTCTGGGAATAAGTCCAAGCTTTGGCATTAAGAGGGAAAAGGAAATATTTTTGCTTAGATATATGGCAAACCAGAATTTCCCATATTCTCTTAATGTGCTTTGCATTGCAAGGAGTAATTGCCAGGAGCACCAAATCAGCTGTTTCCAAAGCTGCTGTTGTGCCATTCTGTCATCTAAATTCACGTTTATTCTGACAGTCTAGACATTCCCTGAGTTCTTCAAATAAAAGTGACTGTGTATAAAAAAGTAAAATTATAATAAGACCTCAGGTATATGCTCAGACTGGTTTTACTTCTAAGAGGTGCTCTGTTAGTGACTCCGAGAGCAGTATCTGGCCAAAAATTTTACTTGTATTACTGAGATAGAGAAAAATCAGCTGCAGGTTCTATGTCCAAGTATGGCCAACTCTTGTTGGGTCCAGTTCTACAGAAGTAATTAGAGGAATGGACCTAAAAATATTTATCTCAAGAGACAGACCCAAAACTAACACCCAGTTCCTGACTTAGTGGAAACTTGGGAAATATCTGGAACTGATTCCCAGGAAGTACACAACCCATTTTACATTTCCAAAGTCATCTTTAAAAATATCCACAATCCAGACAAATTAAAGACGTTTTTAAAAAAGCTACATGATGAAGAACTGCACAAATTTATATCCCTAACCACAGCATCTTGTCAGCAGATGTGGAGTGTTTGCATAATTAATGACAAACAGATAGAGATACATACTCTGACTATCCACATATGCAACGAGTATGACTTAATGAGCTATTATGGTATTGCTCCATGAAAATTAAACCAGATACAATTCTGGCTTTCCATACAAAACCATGCAAGCACAGTGCCAAGGGAGGTAAGCAGAAGCATACCTTCCTGGATTTCTATTAAAACACACTATAAATGATTTAAAGCTATTTTTAATAAGTCAGTGCAAAAAAAAAAAATCGCAGTGGTATAAATACAACCTTAAGGGACTCATGGCAGAACTACTTACTGAGTCAATCAAGATGAATGATTTTGCCCTTGTGGCAGAGGCAGAGGGCTGAGAAAAATACACGTCCACAGAATATTCTGCTCCTGGCTCCAGGCAGACTGGAGTTTGCAGAACTGCAATCCTGTTTAGCAGAAATGAAGCACAGTTATAGCCAGGAGTCAGGACAAGGCAGGTTTACAGGATGTTGTGAGCTCTCCCTTCCCTCTCTGCCTGCATCCTAATGCCTGCAGCCTGGAGCAAGCCCTGCTGCTGTGTGCAGCACACCCAGCCCCATGCTTGCAGGCTTTGGGAAAGCTGCATGACTTCTGCCAGGATGATTCTCCAAGTGCAATTCAAACCTGGGGAGATTAAACTGAAAGTGGCAGATTTTACTACTTCAAGCAAAGGGGTTTGAAACTCACTGTTCATATTTGTCCTTTCCTCTCCCTGTTTGATCAAGACATCAGTCACATACTCTTGGCTTCTCTCTAGCAGCAGTTGGATCTTCACCAAAACAACAACTAACCCCATCAGGATCTCAGGCTGCTGTCCTGGCTTGGGCAAACCTTTGCCAGACTAAGGACTGGAGCATCAGACTCTTCCTTAGAACATACGTGGTATTGTGGTGTGACAGCGACAGAAAGGGCCACATGTGTTTCTGATATTTCTGATATTTCCACTTTCCCACACATTTGTTGCTCTGCAGCACTGCATTATTTGTACACAGAAACTCTACAGGCAAAAGGACAGAAACAGTCATACCTCTTTGTAGCTGGGAGAGGCAACACATGTGACTCCTGTGGAAGGACCTTGTTTTTGCAGCGTTGACCTGACAAGATGCCAATGGGCTGGATGGCAACACTTGCTAGCCAGTCTTCCAAGGACTATAAAAAAAAGACAAAAATTAGGGTATTCTTCTGTATCTGAAAAAACTACTTTCTCTTTACCAGGGATAATGAAAGCCATATGAATGACTGCATACTGCAGTGGCAAAACGGATTTTCTCTTTGCTCTTTACAGCACTAAAACCCAATGTTATTTGTGAAAAGTGCACTGTATTTGCAATGGCTAATTGAACAGCAGAGACAGAAATGGGACCTCAGCTGGTTCAAATGGAAACAGCTCTGTTAAAGTCATTGGAGCCGTTTCCTTTCTTAGTACAGTGTTATTCCAGAGATATCCTTCATTAGCTGCCTCCTCACACATTTAATAAGGAATAACAAACATAAAAGGCTTTGTAATAAATGTGTTTGAAATTCAACTCTTCAATCCTTAGAAGGAAAAAGCTACATCAAACCAGACCATCTATCACTGAGAAATTGTTCCTGCATTTTAAGGCACTGGCAGTTTTGTTTGCCTCAGAGTGACAGTCAGAGGACAGAACACAATAGACAGAGGGATAATCTCAAGTGGTGGGACTGTCCCAGAGAATTGCAAAGCAAAAGACTAAGGCATATACAAATGCTGGTACCAATCAAACTGTGTTTTTGAAGACATGGGTGCGGACTTGGGTTTAACCAGATTTGGATTAACAGATTTCCCTAGACATGTCTTCATCATTGAGAAATCTCCAGGCAAAAAAATAATAATTTGGCTATTTTCCTACAATTTTCACACATCTCAGAGTCCAGCTGAAGCAACTGGGAAGCTGGATGCCTGCAAAAGCCCTGGATAAATATGTACTTAGATCACTCCTGCCTGTTCACATTTTCCTGCCCAAAAAATCCCAGCTGGAGATACAGGATGCCCATGTAAAAGGAGCTGCATATGTTTGATTCGTGAACATGTGTTTAATTTGTGAACAAAAGTCCAGTCCAAGCAAAGGTGCTGAAAGAGAAACTCCAGAAGATGAAGTCTTGACTGATGCTTAGAAAACCCTTGTAGGGCTGATTTTGGATAATTGAGTGGAAAGGGTTAAGGGGATCAGGGAAGGACATGTTACTTGGTTGGTAAGGGTGAAAAGGGAAACAATTTTAATTTTAAAGAGTAGGACAAATTGCTCATCCTACTACTGACAAAATGGACCCTCCATCCATCATAACATCACAAGACGCGAGAAAACACAAGTACCTCAGGCTCATAACGGATTGTGATGTCAAAGTCCATAGCAAAGGGAACGTTGTTGATGGCAAATCTCAGCCCAGCTCCACTGGGAACACGGGCAAATCCTGGTCCTGTCCATGTGACAGACCGATCAGTGCTGGGCTGCCTGAAAACCACCACCGGAGCCGAGTCCTCTCCAAATGGCACTGCACCCTGCAAAGACACACTGACATCATCAACAATGCACAGAGTCAAATGGCAGGAAAAAAACAAGCTCAGGAAAAAGAAAGGAAATACTTTTGTCATGTTGTTCACTTATTTTGGCCATCAATTAGCCTCATTTTCTGAACAAGCTCAAGATGGATGATCTAAGAACCTTTCCAAGTCTAGGATGTTTAGGGTCACACGTAAAGAAAAGCTTCCTAAAGCTTTGCAACAACAGCAATGAGAGGGACTAGAATAATCCATCCATCTCTAAATATTTGGCATCCCCAGCATTCACATTGCAAATCTTAAACAGATTAAGCTTGATTTCATACATGGTTGGACTTTTCATTTTAAGCTGAATAAATAAATAAATATCAATACTTACAGTTACTGCACTTAAGTGCAGTAGGTACCATGCTACTGTCTTGGTAAACTTGTTGGAAAATGGAATATGTTGGAAACATCTTGCAAACAAACAAACAAAATAAATAAATTTACTTTTCATGGGGACTCTTTTCTTCTAAACAATTCATTGAACCTGAGCCTACAATAGCAGTGGACATAGCAGAGCAAACCTGCTGGTGTGAATTATAAAATGTCCTGTGTACCAAAAAAACTGATTTAATTTGTGTCAGGATTGTAATGTCTAGGGCTGTGAATCCCACGTGCTCAGGCACTTCCTTGCCCTCTGTAACAAAATAAAAGTTTATTATTTGGTGGAAACTTAAGTACCTACTCAAGTACCAATTTACCTGTTCCAGTCCAGATTTTCTTCCAGTTCGTTTCTTGCTCCTGTTTAACACAATCTTTCCATTTGCAATCATGAACTCATAGCCTTGTTTCTGGAAGTAGATGTCACACCTTGGAAGAGGGCTTGGCTGAACCTATGAAGTAACGGGAGAGGAGCAGCACTGTCTCAATCATGCTGCAGGGTAGGTAAACAGCTAAATGAAAATGCACCTTCTTAAAACAAGCTCTGTTCTCTGCTGGGTGAAACTCTAACCTATGGCCCAGCAGCTGCTGGAAACCCTCATCCCTCACTCCCTTAAAATTAACTTGCACTTCCTCTCATAAGCTAAGTCCCAGACATCTGTTTTCCATTTAATTATTGGACTGTAGGATGATTACTGGTTGTGATTATAGCTAAATATTTGTGGATTTGACCTGCAAATAAACATTTTTATTATTCTTTCTCTATAGCTTCTGGACAACACATCAGAGAAGAAAAGTTAGTAAAAGTATAGGCAGAGGAAGGGATGAATTCCAGGCTTGTATTCTGCATGGGGAACAACTACTCCCAAGTTGAAGGGGAAATAAATAAATAAATAAATAAATAGAAATTAATTTTTCTAAAAACATTACAGATGGATGCCAAATTCCTGAGGAAATTGGCTCTATAGCTTCTGGACAACACATCAGAGAAGAAAAGTTAGTAAAAGTATAGGCAGAGGAAGGGATGAATTCCAGGCTTGTATTCTGCATGGGGAACAACTACTCCCAAGTTGAAGGGGAAATAAATAAATAAATAAATAAATAGAAATTAATTTTTCTAAAAACATTACAGATGGATGCCAAATTCCTGAGGAAATTGGAATCAGT